TGTTATAAAGTTCTAGCTCTTGAGGACAATGGTGAGAAATCATATACGATGGGCAGAGATCTCTTCAAAAAATTATAACTGGGCATGGTGGCACATGCCTTTAGTCCTAGCATTAGGAGGCAGAGGCAGGTGGATCTCTGTGAGATGAAGGCAAGTCTGGTCTACATAGTGAGTTCCAGGCTAAATGAGGCTCCAAGGGGACCCTGTCTCAGAAAAACAGTGAAATAAAACAAAGAATTATTGCATTTATTTATTTGTGTGTGTTGTGCATATGTTGTCGTGTATGTGTGTGTCTGCCATAATACATATGTGGAGATTGGAGGACAACTTCTGGACTTGGTTCTCTCCTTCCATCATATGGGTCCTGGGGATCAAACTCAGGTCATCAGGCTTGGCATCAGGCACTCTTACCAGATGAGCATCTCACTGGCCCATGTCTTTTTAAAATGGATGATCCGAAACAGATTAGTCCTTTACCAGTCGGTGCTGATAAATAAATTAACAACTCTGAAGTTGTTAATTCAGCCAGGAGTGATGGAAAATGAGGTATTTAGGGAAGTAGGTTATTATTCTAAAAGCTTATTGTATCTTTTTTATCCTTATACTTCTAACTTTGTAAGTTACTATTTACATATATGTATGTATTGTACCTATATACTTACTAATACTGTCATAGAATATATAAAATACACTCATTAAAATGCATATGTATATACATATTTTGGTGAGTATATTTCATACATATGTATATATGTATAATATATATGTATACATACATACATAGCCCTCCATATCTGTGGGTTATGCATCATTGTATTCAATCAACTATGAGTCGAATGTATATTTTAATTAATATTTAAAACATCATACTATAAAAATTTGCTTCATGTTAATTAGTAGATATGAAAAGCATTACCATTGAAATCTACCTGATGACTTTATATCCATTCTCAGGTGCCAAGGAGCTCAGAATGTAACCAACTGTGACTAGTAATAATCTGATATATAGAGATTAGAAACACATGTGCAAACATCTTAACGTCAATTGCATTAAAAATGAATTTTTCTGTATGAAACTGTGTATTTTAATAATGAAATGGAGATCCTTTTCAGAGTTTAAAACCTCATTTAATTTTATGTCTTACAAGGTTTATACAGAGAACAATATTGTATAATATGAAACAGTATATTTTAAAAAGAAACAAGATATTTTTAAAGGTTAAAACCTCATTCAGTTTTATGTCTTATATGATTTATACTGAGTACAATAATGTATAACTGTATTAATTCAACACCGTGAACCTAAAAATTTACAGCCAATTTTGAAAGAGATACATTTTTGCTCTGGAAACTGTTAATGACTATGTCAATGGTGTTGTAATGAAATGCTTCTACTAATTATGTGGTTATTAAATAAAATTTAAAAAATATTTTAAAAATCTTTTAAAAGTTAGCATACTAATGAAAGGTTTTATTATAGCATTTTCAAACAGTTCATTTTGTTAGGTCCTCCTCCCCGTTCCTATCTCCTGCGCCTCATTTACACTCTTCCACTCCCAGAATTCCCCTTGCCACTTTCATGTCTCATGTAGTCTATTGGCCTCCCCACCCCTGTACCTTCTCATGGGCCCCATTCTAGTTTCAGAACTTCACGCTCACTCTCCCATAAATATACCATATAAAATTATAACTTGCAGGGACTGGAGAGATGGCTCAGCAGTTAAAAGCACTAGCAGCTCTTGTAGAAGACCAGGATTCGTGTCCCAGCACCCACATGGCGGCTAACAGCCATCCTTAATTCCAGTTCCAAATGATCTGATACCCTCTTCTGGGTTCTGTGGGCAGTGCAGATATGGGTGTACTTACGCACAAGTGAAACACTCATACATACAAAAATAAATTTTAAAAATACAAGTTACAATCCACATATGAGAGAAAACACTGTTTGTCTTTCTAAAACTGGGATGTCTCATTAAGATAATTTAGATTCATTCATTTCCTGTAAATTTTATAATTTCATTTTTCTTTATTGCTGAATAAAACTCCATTGCATTTGTGTAACACATTATTGTACATGTAGATGCATTTCATAGCATTTATATTATGTTAGGTATTATAAGTAATCTAGAGTTTATTTAAATTATATGGGAAGATTTGAATAGATTATGTGGGAATATTTGACCATTTAATATGGACTTGAGTTCCCTGAGATTTCTGATATCCAAGGAGGTCCTAAAACCAGTGTCTTAGAATACCAATGAACAACTATGTACACATGCAGAAACACACAGACACTTTACATTTTAATGAGTGCTTCCTATGTCCTGGGCACTATGCTAAGATTAGGTGTACTTAGTGAGCAATGGCTACAAGTGTCTTACAACTTAATAGCAAAGACAGGAAAACATGCAAGCACAACTTTACCCATGTTGAGAAATGGATGAAGGTGAACAGGACCAGAAGAGCATGTTGGATTCTCTGGAACTCGAGTTACAAACAGTTTTGAGCCACCATGTAGGTGCTGGGAACTGAACCTGGCCCTCTGCAAGAGCAGCCAGCACTCTTAACTGTTGGACCATCTCTCCAGCCCCTGTTTTGTTTGTTGAGACAGGGTCTCCTGTAGCCCAGGCTGGTCTCAAGCTTGATGAATAGCAGAGGATGACTTTGAATTTCTGATCCTCCTGCCTTTACTTCTTAAATGCTATGATTAAAGGCATGTGATACTACACTTGACTAAAAGATACTTTTAACACCTTTCTTATATACATAAAACCTTGGACTCTGCATAAGCTTGGGGTAAGGTATATCTCGAAACTGACATGGAATTGGGAATTGTCCCAGCAATGGCACCAATGTATCCTAAATACAGCTCTGACTCTCTTTGACTCTACTGACTTTCTCAATGGAGGCCCTTGTTGTAGAATTCACCTACAATAATTATCCCATTGTCATATTCTGTGGCAAACTGTAGCATTTTGATGACCATTCTGCTTTTCAATGGGACTACAGATAGCTATTTGTTCAATTTGACAGGGCAAAGTGGGCAGTAATGAAATGGTATCCATCTAAAGAGCAGTCCTCATTTTTAAACCCTACTGCAGTCAAGTATGTGACCCATGCACTTTGCTACATGATGACAATAGCACATAAATATTAATCATGTTTAGCATTTAATCCATTTCAATCATACTAGTCTGTCATGATATAATAAATTACAAGAAAGTCTACCAACAACCACCTCCTTCAAATAGTACCTATTGAACTGTTCTTAATTTTTTATGTAATCACAAAACTTAAAAATTGCTTGTAAATCAGCAAAGCTAGCCAAAAATTACTCCTGTCACCAACAAAAGAAAATCCACGGTAACATTGCTGAGTGTTTTTTTAATGCAAAAAAACAAAAACAAAAACAAATGCTAGTGGCAGATTTTAAAGCATAAAATTTATCTCAACATATGTGATTTTATTTCCAAGAAAAAATCCCAGGACTGAAGAATGAAGTTTCAAAAAGTTACTTTTTTGTCTCCCAGCAAGGAAGAAGCGATGGACAATAACGAATAGAACTGTGTGATAGCCTGTGAGGTTTGGAATTATACCATTGTTATAAAAAGAAAATAAAATACATTTACCCTGCACCGTCCCCACCATACACACACATTTCCAGCAAGAGGTGAAAAATAAACATACCTGGGCTGGAGAGATGGCTCAGCGGTTAAGAACACCAGGTTCGAATCCCAGCACCCCCATGGAAGCTAACAACTGTCCGCAACCCCAGTTCCTGGGGATCCGACAGCCTCTTCTGTCCTCTGCGGCCATTGTATGACACGGGTGCATTTACCTACATACACATAAAAATACACATAAAGTAAAAATAATAAAATAAAATATTTTTATAAATATATAAATATACCAAATGAAATTGCGTTTAATTTTATGATCAGATTTTTATAATATGCCATCACAAATGGGAGCAGATATCTAAAAAATTACACTATCAACTCAATTCCTCTGCCTCTCCCTCCCAACTTTGAAAAGCAGCAGAGCAGTGGTTGGAACAATGTTTGGTTGGGGCTGTGTTTGGTGAAAAAAGGAAGCAGGAAATCCATAAGAGATGGGTCTTCCACTCTCCTTGATTCTACTCTTCCCAAAAGAGGGCAAGCAATAGCTCTCACTTTTTGGGACAGCGTGTTTGCCTTGGAGGTTGCTTCTTCCAGTATCTTGGAAGTGCTACGCAGTCAGAAGGGCTTGGACAGTATCATTCTTGGGTGTAAGAGACCCCTTTTTTCTTGTGCTGCTGACAAACTAGTTGGACATTCTTGAAACGTTATATTCACTTTGTACATACTTGTGGTTTGAATATGAAAAATCCCCCACAGATGCGCATTTTGCAGGCTTGTTCCCCAGATGGTGGTGCTATTTTGAGAGGTAATGGCAATGTTAGGAGGTGGGGCCCCTCTGGAGGCATCTGCTTTTGAAGATTATACCTGGTCCCTGGTCTCTTCCTTTCTCTGCTTCCTGGCTACCATGAAGGGTTCTACCCAGCATTATAGATTGAAACCATAAGCTGAAATAAATGATTCCTCCATTAAGTTGTTTTCTAGGGTATTTTGCCACAACAATCAAAGTTTTACTGACAGTATTATTATTTATCTTTTCATCTGTGAAATTGGGATAAAGAATAGTTTGCCTTAAAGAGCGATGAGATTGTCTTAGAACTATATACTGAATACAGTAAACACAATCATGTACTATTATATTTCATAGAGACTTAATTTTATCAATCCAAATTAATGTGTGCTGGAATGTTTACATTAGAATCAGCTTGTGAGAGCTTCATGTGAATATTTTTGCCAACTCATGGAGACTGAGAAACTGCCTTTGAAGACCACATACTTCTCAGTTCACATAGTGGGTTTTACATCATTACAAAGACCATGTTCACTCTCTTCAAAATTCTTTACCCTCTGCTTAGTTGACAATATCTCCTTTTTAAAAATGAGATAGGGAAGGGAAGATGCCATGATCTTGAAGGTGATCTTCCCAGGGTGAGGCTTATCCATTGCACTCCAGATGTGCTGATCCTGTGATTTCCCCAAATGTGGGAAATTTGACGGAATAATTTGTAGTAGTTGGGGACTGTGTTCATGCTCTCTCCTTTAGGGAAAAATGTCAGATTACACATAGTAAGTGAAGTTCAGTTTTGTTGTATGTGTCTGTGTTTCCAAGTACACAATTTTTGCAGTTGTGATCAGAATGTGGGAAATCCACAGCGCTGTGACTGTAAGATTTCTATGTGGGACCCAGGATAGCCTTTTACTCCATGTGATACTTGTATGGAGTCTTTGTTCTTACTGAGCATCAATGTCTACATTTGGAAAATGACAGAGAGTAGATTCAGACTCCAAAGGCTCTATAAATGCTATTTCCTATACTAAGAACAAATACTGTCTCATTCTAGTGACATGAGGTATCTAAAATAGACAAACGCATAGGTATAAAAAGTAGACTATTGGTTACCAGGGACTTATAGGAGACTGGTGGGAATAGAGTTTCTATTTGAAATAGATAGTGGTCATGTCTACACAAAAATATGAGTGTACTTAGTGTCACTCAATTGTATACTTTAAAATTGTAGATTTATGTTATGCATATTTACCAGAGTTAAGAGAATTTATCCATACATACAACTGTTTTGCAGACAAGACTATGAAAGCAAGTGAAATTTTCTAAGATCTATAGATTCAGGCTCATTAGTTTTACAAAAAAGAGACTTGTGATTTATGGATGAAGGTCAAGGAGTCTTTTCCCATCCCTCTCTTGGTTGGCATTACCATGGTTTTCTTACACTCTCAAAGCTCTGGAGCTACTTCCTATCTCTCTCAAAAGAAGTCAAAAGTCTGGTTTCTCTACAAGTGGTGCTTTAAAAACTTTATAATAATCACATGAAGATCTTGTAAAAATTCTAATTCTGTTTCAGGGTGGGGCCTAAGAGTCTTTACTCAGTTCCATCATGGCTAGAGAATTTGAATTTTATTGTGCTTTTCTTTCTTTCTTTTTCCTCCCTCCCTCCCTCCCTCCCTTCCTTCCTTCCTCCATTCCTCCATTCTTTCCTCCCTCCCTTCCTTTCCCACCCTCCCTCCCTCTCTCTCCCCTTCTTCCCTTCCTCCCTCCTCCCCTCCCTCCTTTCCTTCCTTCCTCTCTGAGACAGGATCTCCCAAAGCTGGACTAGAACTTGCAGTCTCCTACCTTAGCTTCTCCAGTGCTGGACTCAGCAGCACCTGGTCAAGAATTCACAGTTCGAGAGTGTCCAATTGAAAATGCTGCTCATTTCATTTTTTTCCTCGTGTCATGCATCCTGTCTGCAATTCTGAACTGATAACATTTTCAGCACAGTGAGATCCCATCTCTGCTCAGATGTTAATATGTGTACAGAGGCTAGCTTGCTGCAGCTCTTGGCTTCTCATCCACCTGGACTATTCTCATTTCATGTGGGAAGCTGTGTGTACACATCCCTTGGTTTTTCTCTTGCTTTTCCATTACTAATTTTTTTTCCTGTGTGCTCACAAGGTAGCACACTTAAAATATGTTCAGAAATACCACTGTTAATGCTTTGTCTGTCACTGTACATAGACAGGAAACAAGTCAATAAATCACTAGAACTTAGTCTATAACAAAATGTCATAAATTGAGTAGCTTGAACAATATATATTTATTTTATCACAGATTAGAAGCTGGAAAGTTCAAGACCAAAGTCTGACTGGTTTTTGTGAGGACTCTTTTCCTTGCTTGCAGATGGCTGTCTTCTTGATGTCATTATCTGGCAGAAACTGTCTTTTCTCTCTGTCTCTCACTGTCTCTGTCTCTCTCTGTCTCTGTCTCTTTCTCTCTCTGTCTCTCTCTCATCTTTTAAGGTCACCATTCTATCAAATTAGAACCTACCCCATGATCATAATTCACCTTACTTACTTCCTAAAGGCCCTATCTCCAAAAGCATTCATACTGGGAATAATCTGGATGGGGTACAATGCTGTCAATAGTAATCACTAACACAAAAAGACTAAGTCCCCAGTGTAACAGTAATGGAATAACACAGTAAATAGCACACATTTTTATCAAATGCTAATTATTGTTGACTCTAATCCTGTTAAACTTTTTCTTTGTCTTTCTGAAACGACTGAAGAATTTCAACCTGTCACCAGAGTTCTCTCAAAGTCTTTTGCAAGATCA